CCCAAATAGCAGACATAACCCACACAACCGTCTGTTTACTTCAGAATTAACGTATACTTCAAGTTGTAAAAGGAACGCTGTAAATGTTAATGACTGAAAGTCAAGTGAATATTTGTACCATAAGTGTTGTCAATAGTTTTACAGTAGAACGTCAAGGATATTGTTGTATCTATTAAAAATGTAAAACCCTAAAGAAACACTTACAGATTGTGGCATTGCGTGGAGGTATTATAATGATATTTAAGAGTATTATTGTGTAAAATAAACTGACAATGTCGTGGGTGATAATGAAACATTAACCGAAAAAATTGATTTACAAATAAGTTACATCGTAAATATCTGAATTTTTTTTTTTTTATAAAGCAGGTTAGTAATGTGTAAATATAAAATAGTTTTTGATCGTACAGTACAATCAATTGTAACATTTTTTATTGTACGTAGACTTCAACATAGTTTACCGATGCAATCTGTCATTTAATTATGAATATTTATTTGTATTTTAATTGTACTGGATTCAATCACATTTATAAACATAGTGGTAAATTGACAAATTTTCGTGTGGGGGCTACAGTCCCATATTTTGTTTCATATATTTGCTTAACCTCCTCTTCTCCTCGCTTTCTACTAATATACAATGTATAAGTGCGGGCTGAAGCTTCCACAGCCCCCGCCCAAATCACCTTATTGTCCAAAATTCAATACAACATTTATCGTACGACGTTTATCTATAAATGAATAACAAACTCAGCAATACAAAATAGAACTAGCGAATAATAAATAGTTAAAAACTGGAAGTAATCAATGACATATAGTGGCACCGAGTGAAATTGATGTAATGTGCAGTAATATTTTATAATCAATAATCATTTACCTCGGAGAGTATAAAGGCATGCGACTGCCTCCAGTCAAAACATTTAATTTGAAATGTCGATAAAAAATAATACTGAACAAATATCCATTTGTGTTTGAACAAGGCTGATGTATGAATAACAAACAGTATAGTTTAAAATGTATGTTATCAATAAATATTTGAACAATTAATGAGTCGAAATTTAAACATTTTTATTTCCTAAACTTTAATTATATTTATATATATGTATATATATATATAATGTTTTTTTATTAAAAATACTTCTCTTTATTTTTTTTTTATAAATATGTACTGATTAAAGTTTTATTTATTTTTATGAATCATATCAATATCAAGTTTATTAAAAAGAAAAACTTTTTTGAAATAATTTTTAAAAGTTAAATGGGTAAACATATAAATGTTTGTATACCATTAGAATGAGAATAGATTAATTAAAATTAACATGTCGATAAGAAGTTTTGTATTGTTAATTTTGAAATATTATTAAAATATTTAGGTGAGGTGTGCAGCGGGTAAGTGTTTTGCCACGTCCTATTTTTACTATAATGCACAGATAATAATACTACAACGTTGCCGCACCCCTCTCATCTATACCTAAAAATTGCACTAACTCAAAAAGTAATTTTTTTTAATTCGTTCTGAAAACAAAAATAATTATGGGTTCCCAATGCACTTTCAAAAATTACACCTAAAAACACCCTTAGAATTAGAAACATTTTATAATAAATTTTATATTTCTCATAGTGAATTTTAATTAGTACATTATTATCAAAAAATTATTATTTAACGTAAAACATTTACGTATTTTGTAGAATTTGATTTTCCTCATTAATGTTTTATATAAAATTTTGCTTTTAGTAAAAAAACAGTGTTTTTCGCAGAATTTATACTGACTCAATACACTATAATTAAAAATGTAACACTTTAGACTTGAAAAAAAAATTGTCGCTTTTAATGTAACATATTTGTTTGTCTGTAAATAAATTATAGTTTCCACTTTCCTATGGTATAAGTTCTTGATAATTTTGAATGGCTTTCCAGTCCAGCAGTGTCGTTAGGAAATAAAATAAACATTTTTTATGTTTTTATTCTACTACTGTATTAAAGAGTAACAAAATATATTGATGTTAAGAACCTATGAATCGATAAATGTTTAGTGGTAAATTGAAGAGAGAGAGAGAAATTGTTTTGAAATGATTTTACGCGTATTTAAAAGTCATTGCGTACAATACGATATCGGTTTTGGTGACGTTATGAATATGCGGATTTTCGACTAACCCTAATGTTTTTTTATTGAATTTTTTCTTGTGCCAGGTGGCCACTGATGTTTCACATAACACATGACGACCCTAATGTGAAGTTATTAAATATTATGTCAGTGTATTTACAACGACGTGCAGTAAATACATGTATTAATGTTAATGTGCGGCGTGACAACAAGTGTGTGGCCATCGTTGGGTTCGTCGGATACGCGGACCACCTGTGTGATGATGACACGAGTATCCCCATGTATAATTCCCCAACGTATAATGAAGGTGCGCGCACACGATGCATATATGCGTACGATATTTTTGTGTAATTAATGGTAACACACACGGCGGTTTGCGCTTTGCCCCTCCTGTGCCAAGTAACCGTGCACGCGCTCGTACACTTACAACATATGACCGGATCAAATGCATACACGGTAAAGGGCTTTTTGGGTCGGCAGTATTATCGTGGAACTACGCTTGGATTACGCGCCTTTAACGACCCCTGCGGCTTGGACGCGTTGCCGGCATTCGGCCGTACCGTTCTCGCGCACACGTGTCGGGGCGCGCGGGTGCCAAAAGAGTCTGAAATGAGTATCACCGTCGACACGGTCGGTCGTGGACGGCGGTGGGGATTTTAATAATAGTCGGCTAATTCGATGGACTTGGGGTTGCCGCTGCCATTTACTTGCTAATCCACCAGACCGCTGTTATTGCTTTGCGTTAGCCCTTCTCCCCTGGGCAGCGTTCGCTCAACGACCTGCGTTGCTCATTTTCCTCTCTGGCCCGTGTTAACGTAGCAGAGTGATCGCGGGGGAGGGGGGTGTGGTGTACGAGGTGAACCTACAGATTTTCTCAATTAATCCGATTTGAAATTTCCGACTCGCTCAGCCTGTTCAATTATTTATAAATATACGAGAAAAGATTATAACGTTCGAATCAAATCGAAATGTACTGTGTATACTTGACATCGTATAGTGTGTTTTTTATGTAGGCGGTTTATGTACACGATTTATTAACTAATAGTTTAAAATTGTAATATTCGAACAAACAGAACGCGCCAACGACCTTTTATCTATTACTTCAATTATAACGTAACAACAGTTCATAGATGTACATCTACTAGCTGCTGTTGGTAATAATCTAGTAGCATTTTTTTACATTTACAAAACTATGTATTCTATTGTAACTTGGTTAAAGTCGATGTTAGTTAATTTACAATAAAAAAATTATCGGGTTGATAATTATCAATTCTTATATCGGTAAAAATAATTTTAATTAAATTTATATAAGCAAAAACAATTTATAAATTATTTGTAGAAATTCGTAAGAGAAATTATACTATTGCGACTAAATGAGTTCTGAGATAATTGTGAAAAATTAAAAAATATATAAATGTATCCGTTATAAATCATTTTGTTGTCATATTAATGTCAATTCCTACCGAATAAATACCCTATACTCTTCATTAGATTTTTAAAGATTTATATTTAACAATAAAATTGCGAGTCTCACAAAAACAAAAAAATGTTCAGAAACATAAATATTGTATACATTTTAAAAAATTTAGAGATACGCACTGTTGTAATATAAACGAGGATATCTTTTGATATTGCATATGTAATCATATAATGTTTTAACGTTTTAGGTTAAATCTCAAACATTTCAATGTCATGTTATCTTCATATATTATCACGCATTTCTTTTCAACTTATTAATACGTCTATGACTTGTATGATTTCATAATAATTTGATATATAGAAAACAATGACATCTATTTCATTAATGTATTCAATGGCTTCTTTAAAATCTAATAATTTTTATGGCTTCTTATACTTTTAGCATTTCTATGGCTTCTTATATTTGTAGCATTTCTATGGTTTCTTTAAAATCTAATAATTTCTATGGCTTCTTATATTTTAGGTATTTCTTAATTTTTTATATTTTATTTATCTCAACAGATTCTTTAAGATTTGAGAATATCTATAGCTTTTTAAACTTTGTACATTGTTCATACATATTCAAATAGTATCATAATATATAGACTTGATCAATGGTGAATTACAAAATATTCTCTATAAACTGACAGACTCAGTGTTTTTAATCTCCAGTGAGATTTATATATTCATTAAAGTTAACACTGATTTAAGTCTTTGAATATGTGTTAAAAGTGTTCATAGTCATTACATGACTTTCATACCAATATTCTCTAAAAATTTTCTTTTAAAAATCTTCCTATTTACAGCTTAGAAATTAGGATTTGTTATTAGATTTTGACTCAATTTTATGTATTTTATATCTATATTTACTATTTTTATATTATTTGAACAGTTAATTAATTATAATAATTATTGACATGGTATTTTATAATTTCAATCGCACAGTAAGAAATAAATAATTTTGGACTTTATTTCCTTTTGGAGAATTTGAATTTTGATATGAAGCATTTATGATAAAGAATAATGGCTACCATTTACTCTCTTTATAAATTACATTAATAAAACTTGTTATCATTTTTCACGTGAATTATTTCATTTTAATAAAGGTATTATATCTTTCATTCTTATTTATCATTCAATTTATTTTTCTATAAAGTGATTACTTATTTTAGAACAATATTATTTTGGTAGTATAATAAGCTGTTTAACACGAAATGGAAGTTATTCATTACTTTCACCTAAGTTGCGTGTAAAACATTTAACATGCACACTATTAAAATAGATATAAAAGTGGCCAATGTTCGTCGTACGTTACTGACGGCAACATGACATATTATCACCTAAAGCTTACAAGAACTATTGTTTAACAATTCTTGATACTTCCAGAATATAAGTTTTACCGATCAAACGTTGTAATTAATAATACTGTCATGTTAACTTCGGTTCTACTTAACTTAATAAACATTTCGTTATTTTATTAATTTATATATGCCTAAGAGGCAAAAGTACAGAATTAATTAATAATTTACAGTGCAATAAATAATAGTACAATATTAATATTTTACACTACGATATTTTTTGTTATTAGATTTATCGATTACATAAAAAAACACAAGAACGTAATAGTGTATTACAATAGTTGAACAATACAAAATTAAATAATAACGTAAATGATTGTCTTCCAAGTGTACTCAATTTGGAGAGTCTTAATGATCCTCCATGGCGAAGAAGAAATGTTCAGCTTTGTAATATCGTAAAAAAAATTAGGGTCCCTGTGCAGCAAAGCAGTTACCGTATATACATTTAAACAAAATATTTATTTTAACGAGACTGTTTGTTTTTATCGCTGTTCAGACTGGACGTAGAACTCTGGTTGTATTTTTTTTTTCATTTTAAACGGGTTAATCACGTTTTGGCTGACGCTAGAACTTTGTAGGGGTTCAGTATGCACTTGGGGTCCATAGTGTGTTTCAATGTTTTCATTAAAGCCAGAGCTTGGCTATTCTTTGTACGTTCCAGGTAATTCCTTTTTATAGCTCCGATACCGTGCTCGGCGCTAATGCTCCCTTGGCACTTGGACGTCCAATCATAAACGATCGGCTCAATGATTCTGGACAAATTCTCATCGTATTCCCTCGTAGCCACATTCAAATGCAAATTTCCATCACCTGTTGTTAAAAAATAAATGTAAGTATTAAAACTCCTAAGCATTTTTCGCTATTTGTAAATAGTTATTATGTTTACAAAATCAATGACAACTCTGTTTACTTACCTATGTGTCCGAAGCCGCAAACGGCTTCGCAGTCAACGGCACTTTTCAGTTTTTCTTTTAATATTTCTACAATGTCGAAAAAGCAGTGAAGTGGTGCTGATATGTCGTATGCATACACATAGCCGTATTTCATCAGACTTTCTAATGCTCTCTCTCGAATCTTCCAAATATTCTACGTTTAAAATTGTTCATTAGCTTACAGTGATACAATATATATTAAGTTTGTCTAATGACACGCACATTAATGCTGGACATCTTATCTGTAGTAGTAGCGTCGGAGATAATCGATTCGTATAAAGCTTTTTCCAACACGTTTGTAAGGTGTTGTTCAACGTTCGGCCGACTGGTAGCTAGCTCGATGAGAACATAAAACGGGTGCACATTTTGGATAGGACAATTTAATTTTAAATTTTTTTCAACGGCCGTTACGATAGTATTATCCATAATTTCAAAAGACGATAACGTTTCAGAAAATTCCTCCCGGGCTATCGAAAATAGTTTCAGCACATTTTTATAGCTGTCTAAACCTGGAAAAGAAAATGTTCAAATTTGGACTAAATTACAACATCGATTTTCAATTGATTAATTATTTTTTAATAAGGAAACTAGTGTTGTTGTAGACAACCTTCAATATGAGAAAATAGTTTTTTCTTTTTTAATTTAAAGAGAAACGACGAAAAAGAACAACTTTAATTTATTGGCTGCACTACGATGGTGTAATAAAAGCTTTATCGATTTTAGTGTGTAATATGTTTAGTCACAAAGCACTGCAAATTTATAGGGTTCATATTATGTTCGGTATAGAGACTATCGTAGCAATTCAACGTGTGCGGGTTTATTGAGCACTGTTTGGATAAAGTTTTGACCATGACATTCAGAGTATTAAATCGAAGAAATGACTTATTAAATTGTATCTCGTCCAATTAAATATTAACGACCATTTGAATAGGTCGTATGAAACCATTTCTTTGAAACAGAATGTCGATTCCCCTTTTAATTTGAAAAGTTTGATAATTATACATTGACCATTTTCAATGAAAATACCACTCAAAGTTTTTAAAAACAACCCTTTATTATACTTGTCTATATCAAATAACAAAATATGTACTCCAAAGTAAAATAAACAGCTGCTTCAGCCAACACGCATATTATGTGCTCAAACTTTTTACACTTTTTTCGAGTCTTTAAATATTTATAACGATTTTTTCATATCATATTGTTTAACAAAATGTACCTTATAAAAAATACGAGAAAATTAAACTTAATGATGGCTATCAAACTATAAAAGGTTTATTGCTCTGGTTGTAGTATAATTTTACATGATAAAGATTTTTTAACATTTAAGCAAATGCTCACAATGGTATTTAGTTTCAGCGTATTTAGGGTTTGTATAACTAAAGAACGGGAAATAAAGTTTTACATTGTTTGTTAATTTTATCAGAAAGAAAAAAAGTAATGTATAGAACTTTATTATGGTATTACATTAAACATTTTTTTTACCTATAAAAGCTACAGAAATATTCTTGGGTAAAATTGGACACATAATAGCTACTTTTGTGACAATTCCTAAAGTACCCTCCGAGCCAATAAACAAATGTTTTAAATGGTATCCGGTATTATCTTTTCTCATAGTGTTCAGGCAATCTAAAACTGAACCATCGGCAGTCACCTATAACAAAACAATTTATTCATAACAGTTACACAACGATAATTCATAACGGCACAAAAGATAATATTTGGGTAAAATATTCTTTAACACTAAGACTCACAAGTTAACAACTTTAGTAAAAGTTTTCAATACAATTTTTATAAAATTTTAAATAAGCGATGACTTTAATAAATGATACTAGTAATTCATTACCAATAAAGTGTAATACGATGTGAAAACATAAATCGCTTCACAATCCATCGGCTAATATTTAAACATTAAAACCCAATATAATCTTTGGATTTTTTTATCCATTATGATGTCCTATAATAAAAATTGGGCTATGCGATTGTATTCATAATTAATTAATTCTATAAAAATGCATAATGAAACAGATATTTGTTAGAATAATTAAAGTTAAAAACCATTAAAGTTTGATTAATGTATTTTATAGATAAAAATTAAGAAAAATATTCAAACACATTTTCTTATATTAATATGGAAGTCTAAAATTCATCTCGTAGTAATGGTTGGAGGAAGAAAAAATCTCAGGGATCGAGGATTGCAGTAAAGAACAGTTATGTGTTTAATTAAGAAAAGGCATTTGGAGGGTTATTTTGTGTAACTTAGTAGTAAAGTGAAACGCGACCGAGTCTAATAAAAGGAAAAAGAAGCAAGACCAAAGAACGAGATTCGTTAGATTAGGTACTAAAAAGGGGAGAAAAAAGAGAACAACTCGAAAACACTGATTTGATTAAAAACGAGGAAAAAAATAATAATAAATTTGCCGAATCGAACGTGTGGGAGCAGATTGTGCGTGCTGGGTGACAGAAGCAATTATAAGGGAGCGTTGGCTGTTTTGGCGTTGGGTTTATATATATATAATAAGAATAAAAGTTATTGAAAGGGGAAATGGGTAAGGAAAAACGTTTGGCACATACCAAATCGATTTTTGTGTTAAAAAAAAAAAAATCACCCAATTAAGTGCGAGCAAGACCCAAAATACTTTTTTCCGGTCGTTAAACGTTTATCCACAGTGATCGTTTGTGAAAAATGAATTTTCATTAAAAACGCTGTAATAATATATTTTTAGCTCTCCCGAGGGTACAGATGGGTAGTCAGAGAGATCGGATTTAATGCGTTGGTTTAATTTTAGCATACAAATTATGCCTTCATCGAAATTTACCATCGGAATTGGGTGTGCTATAGAGATCAGTGAACCGTTACGAGGATTCTATCACCATAGTGCACATTAATTCCATCACAGATCATTGATTTTATGTATTCGGAAACATTGTAATTAACGCGGTCTAATTTCTATCAGAGCTCGTTGTTTGTTCATGTTTGTTAAAATATAAACAGACTCCGCTCGACGTAGTTGAGAGTGTTTTAATTAGTGCGTAAGTATGACTTTGATGTTTTATTGTATTTTTCAGTTTTATTACCGAAGCCTAGTGAAATGAATCTCGATTGTTTTTTATATTGTAAAATCCTCAATATTTATCTTTTATCAGCAATTTTTTTTCTTAGAAATAACTCAAAAGTAATTTGAACATTTTTCATTTTTTCGGCAAGTGATTAAAATTGTCACGCGACAGCGATTTCACTTTTTGACGCGTTCGAAGTTCCGAGTGAAAAACGACTAGGGGAATTCCTTTTTTACAAAGAAACGTGAACGCTTTCGACTGTTTTTGGTGAGTAATTTTCTCGCTTGTTTTTCGGTCGTCCAAGTACACAATACCAAACTGTGTACGGTAAGATAATAGTTAACGCAATAATCATAATGCTATAAACTGCGTGTACGTGAACGAAAGAGTAACATCGTTACGTGGAATTTTCCCGGTCGACCTTCCTTATGGAACAGCCACTTAATTGAATTTAACACACGTGCCTATTTCGGATATTGGAGACCGTACGGAGCTAACGAACCGTCTCCAAAGTCTCGCATCGATACCTACCCTCGTGTCGTCAGCTAGACCTCCATCTCCATGTTATTTTGTTTACGAGCCGCGTACACTCGGCGGTTGCTAAATAAAGACTTTTTATCATTTATATTACATGACGTCGTTATTATCGTAATGGTGTGCAGTGGCAGTGAACTCACGGCTTCCAGTCCAAGTACGCATCCCTGCAGCGTGCCGTACCGTATGACGCGTATGCCTCCGGCGTTGGTAGACACGTTGCCGCCAATTTGACAGCTGCCCTTCGACCCCAAGTCCAACGGCATTATGTGCCCGTAGCCTTCCACGTGCCCCATCAGCGATTCCAGGACGCATCCCGCCTCGCACACCAACACTCCTGTCGGTCACACGCGAACAAAATTATATATATAACTGAACAATATGCCACAAGTATACATCACAAGAGTTGTATTGTATTACTGTAAATAATGACTTCTATTATGCGCCCGTTGAGCAAATCAATCGACGGCCGAGTAAAAGTTACGATTACAAAGGCGCAGGGGTAAAACGAGTGTCTATTGTAATACAAGTTTCATGAACCAGTCAATCATGATGTCATCAGATTTTGAATTTTCATACAACACTCTCTACTGTGCGGGAGATGTGATATCATATAATAGTTTTTTATGCGCCCTTTTTAACCAGTTATTTTCCAATCGCAAAAAATTGCTACAAATATTTAATAAAGCGGTAAACAAGGATGATAATGAAAGGCTATTTTGTTTTGGGAAACATTGATTTCTAAGTTTGTCAGTTCAACGTGACATTACTTGATATCAAATATTGACAGAGTTGTTCTCAAAACTTTTTAGTAGACGTATCCTATACTAAAGTAACACGGTTATAAATTGAAATGGAACGTTTAGACAAATATCTAGCGCCACGTATTACTTTTATGACTTCTTTGCAGACACCCTTACTCGTGACAGTGATCGATTGATGTCACTGTGTGCCGTCTAAGTTTAAGAGTACGATTGATAAAATAAAACACGTGTACGTTTATTAAATCTCATTATATGCTCAATAGCGACAAGAATACGTTTGTAAGTCTCTACACATAAAAAAAAACAGTTAATTAACAATGTACTGTTTCTACAGTGTAATTAGTAAAGTACTTTGTTTTATTTATAACCTAATTGTTCGAGTCCTACCCTACAGTTATTTTCTCGTGTGATTTAAATAAAATCAAGAGAACATGGAAATTATTATTTAATTTTACGAGTACAAAGAGTGAAACACATTGTGGAATGTAATTTATTATATTGAATTGATTTCTTCTTACTAGAATTATTTATAATAATCTAAAAAATAAACTCGACGAACTCTATTTTGCAAATCATTAGGTCAGATAAGTTATTTTCTACAAATGATTGTAAGCCAACTTAAATGATTACTAAGCACTAAACCTTATGGGTTGTTACATTATATATACAACTAATATAAATTTCTCTATCAATATAATACATGTAAGTAGTGATTTGAGCTAGTAATTATTTATGTATTAAAAGACATTATGTTCACCGGACACTGGATCGAAATCAATTATGTTGTTCATCCGTTGCATGGACAAGACCACCTCATCGAATACAGCCACACTGCCACCAGATATACAAGTATTACCTGCCTGTGGGCACACCGCTATGTTTCTGTCGTTGCAGTACTTCATTATAGCTGACACGTCTTCTGTATTTTTTGGCTTCAGCACAGTCCTACTCTCACCTGTAACCATAACGAAAATGCGCGTGAAAGGATATACAAAAACTTACATTCTATATTTATTGATGTAAAAAGTACGAGATTCATGTTTTTTGAAATGTATATTTACATTTAACACAATTGTTGAATGCAGATTTACTGTGTAGTAATTCATTGCATGTAACATTTTCTTGGAAACATAAGAGAAAATTAAATAATATATGACACCAACAAAACAATCTACTAAACTAAAGACCAAGAGAGTTAGTCATCTAAAAACTTAATGGTTTCTTTAATCCATATAATGTAATTATTAAACGCTTGTTTTATTTAAAAGATAATTGTATTTGCGCTATTTATTTATTTTTTCATTATTAAATTTTACATTATTAAGAGGGGATACCAAAATTATCTGTTGATTATATTTAAAATATCAGTTATCGTATTAGTAAAGTGCACATGTTAGCCGTGTGTTCCTATTATTGTGAAATATACTGTTTGTTATCAGCTATTGTGTAACTGCAAAATAGGATCAATTTAAATTGAGTAAGGGTCGTAAGTATAGCAGATCTGGGAAGGATAGGAAGCGATTAAGACGACTTACCAGACATGTATTTCATCCAGTCCACGTTGTACGGTCGCACGTCCTCTTCGCTAGTCAAGATATTGCAATCGCCCAGTATCGATTTAAAGTGTTGGACGTCTGCATTCGTGACTCGAGAGTAATTGCCGCGTGTAAACCGCACGTCGTTTATGACTTTTGTGCCAAACTGTCGGACGTGCTTGGCCAACAGTAAGCGCCCTATCCTAGGCCATAGCATGTTATTATAGTTAATTGGCAGTTAAAAACTTAGACTAACGATCAATTTTGCATATGATATGCAAATAAATACATTAATAGCACTAAGATATCTAAGTGACTGAAATACTTTGAAGCGACACTTGCCGTTTGTTCATCACTAAACTAACTAAACCTAGTCCAAGTAATTAGCCATCAACTAAAACTGATAATTGATAATTTATTTATTTGCGTGTACCTTATTGAAATTATCAGCTGATAGTCATCAAAACTTGTTTTTTATTGTCGATTTTACAACAACAAGTTTGATTTAATTTATTATTACGTCAGTGGCAGTGATATGATTGTACATCGAGTTCAATAACTAATATATTACATAAATAAAACATAGACAAATATTATTTGATGATAACTTAGACCCGTTAAATAAATGTTTTAACATAATATTCATTTAAGTCGTAAACAGTAATATTCGATATTTTAATTAAGTAAAATTGGAATGAAAATCTTGAATTAAGAACCGGAAAGTTGACCATTTAGTATAAAATATGAAATTATATAAAATAACACTTAATTGTTTAGTCACTATTCAATGTTTCCGGCTAGCTTACTTTACTGGGAGAAAAATAGTTGTTAAACTTTGATTTGTTTATTTGGTCTATTTTGCTCATCAATTACAACTGATAGTTAAATAGATTTATTTACCATGAATGAGCAACGTTGTTGAGAGTCACTAATAAATTCAACCGACCTTCTATTAACCTTCTAATAAAATAACGATACCGTACCATTTACACGAAAGTACTATTTATTTTTCTCGTTTTGTGTGTTTATTATAAATTTGCGACTCTTGTAAATTATTTTTAGCATTTGTTGGAGTTAGCTAAGTTTGAAATAAAAGGTCAAAAACGTTTTTTTTATAAATTATAAATGATACTCAATAGTTTATTAGGTAAACTCGAGCGGGACTGATGATCAAATATTTAAACAGAGCTAATTCGAGTTTTACGAACGAACGGCACTCCACGCAATATGTCTATGTCTAATAACATATTCAGTTTACAAACTTTGTGTACATATATGGGATAGGTTAGGTTCGTTTATCAGCTATCATGTAAATTGCATCGATCACCTCTGCTACCACCACTGTCTCGTTGAATTCTCAGGAAGTTTGTGTGCACAATAAAGTGAGGTATGGTTGATGCAACGAAAACCCTTTGCCGCGATCCGTAATTAAGTTTCAAACATTTGCTGCACTAGGTATACATACTTTGTATAATCGTATTACGGAAACGTATATATTTATTTAAAAGTATGTACTTAATGCTACCTACGCATAAAAGAAAGTCAGCGTCTAAGTATCGTCGACTCGCCGAGACTTATAAAAAAACAACAACAAGCTCAATTGTCGTCTCAATTGATGCCACTCGTAACAACGGCGCACTCAGAGCCGACGAAACTTTTTACGTTGCTTCTGTTTGGGGACTACAGGGCTAGAGGCTAATTTAATCTTTATTATGTAACAAACAGCTCGTTTTTGAACAAAGCTAAGAAAACGGAATTTTATAAAAAACGCGTTTTCTAGTTGCGAAGGCGTTAGTGATATTATGCCAAAGTTAGTTAGAGGAGCTCTTTAAGTTATTTTATTGTCTTAAAGATAATAGACGGCATTATAGTTTTATAGGGTAAAATATGAGTAGTATGATACACATAACATTTTTTCAAATATTTTAATTTTCGTATTCTAATAACTATTCCTGTTGAAATGTTTTATTGAAAACTTATAGAATATTTCTTATTTATGATACTTTTGTTATTGGGTTATCATTTTTCTTAAACACCTTATTGATTGTTCAATGGCTTCTTTTGCATGGTACTGGAAAATGGTCATTGGTTTTTTATAGGAATTATTACATATAGTATAGAAAATACTTAAGACTATAATTATTAGTACATAATTTATTGAATGGGACTAAATTTTTTATAATCCAGCTTGGTCATCTTTTCCGACGGTTCGTGACTTTAATCCTATTAGGGAACGCGTTAGGGACGCTGATAAAATTCTCAAATTGTACCCATTCGAGAACTAGTAGTAAATAATACAACTTAACCTCAATTATTAGTTGTGATTGAATAGTCTCCACTGCACCACACTGACTCCCAGTATATTTTAGAGAAAGACTATAATAGAATTAGAATTTAGTCGTTTATTATTTCAACAAAATAAAGATTTAAAGTAATGAGCCGTGGGTCTTATAGTTGCGCGTATTCCTTAAGTTTGGTTAGGCATTTCCTATACTTATATGATTTTCAGTTGTTTGATGAATTATAAAGATTAACATTGTTTGATATTGAAAATACTAGGTGACAGTGGTTGAGTAAACATCGCACATAAATCATTTCCTGTGTCCAAAGCACGTAAACAAGATAAACGTTTTTTGAGGAAATAGCTGCCGTTTAATAGATTTGTGAAGTCAGATGCGCTAGGTTATGTATCCATGCAGTGATTGGGTTGCAGGATCGTTCTTTACACTTATATAGACCTCATGTAAGTCGTGTGAGTAATGGATTTTCTTCGAGTTTCATATTTCACATTATATCTTCGCCTTTGTGAGATAATAGAAAACTCTTTCAGCGACTGCATCTAGTCTCGAGCCACCATCATTTTTAAAATATGTGATACATACACTATGTAGAAATGAAATATATATAGAATGTTTCAGACTCAACTGCCAACGCATATACATTTTGATACAATAATCATTTTGTTGAATTCGTTTTTTAATAATTATTGCTTTCTCATGCTACTTTTCAAGCATATTTTTTTTTTTAAATAAGTATATATTTATTATAAATAATCATTTATTTATAAATAAATATATATTTAAATAAATTTTATTTTTAGCTTCGATGCGAAGCTGAGAAGGTATTGGTACTATTATGATGTTTTTTTTTTCTTTTTTTTTTTTGTTTGTTACCACTTTTTCTCAGCTCTTACCGAACGGATTTCTTTCAACGATACGTCAAAAGATCACAAATCGTATCTAGTTGAAGACATTACCCTCAAAAATTGAAAAAATTTCCCTCGTTCCACGTAAATGGGGGAAACCTCCAAAAAAATTACAAATTTAAAATTCGCTAATTTTTGACATTTTTTCAATTTTTTATACTAAAAACTGCCGTAACTTTTTCAAAAATAACCAAATCAATATGTATTTTTTTTTATAGATTTATGATGTCCTTACCTATCATTTGGTATATATTTTTTGTAAATCTGACACTTAACCTACCCACAGAGGGGGATTTAAAATGACAATTTTTTCACAAAAAATTAACTTTTTCAACTTAACTTTTGAAAGTGTTCCGGAAGGTCTGACACTTTTATATATATCTTAAATTAAAGATAATGTAATGTATTTTATTGTGGAAAAAAAAGGTTGATCTTTGGACTTGTCTTCGTGGTGAAAATGGCTACCAAATGCTATTTTTGTGTGAAATTTCCGATTTTATTTTTTACATTTTTAACATTATAATGCTATAACTTATTGAAAAGTGTATGGATGAACACAATTTTTTTATGAGAAATAATATTTTTTAATAATCCCTTTTTTATTCGACATAATTTATCTTAATCAGGATATTAATAAGAAACTAGCAGATCATGTAGCTTTTGGAATAATACACCAATTTTTTTAAAATTAAACACAATCAAAGATTTGCATCGAAGCGTTTATTTTTGATAGTGATTTTAATCACTGTCAGATATCATTATACTTGATCTAACTATGCCACGTCACCACTGTGCCGTAACCTCCTTGAGCTTGGTATTTAAATTAGCTTGTACTTGGCATGTTAATTAAAATTTTAAAGAGAACATAAAATTTTTGTTACATAAATCGATATAGTTTGGCTAATTGTTTTTCAAAAATTCGGTCTCTTTTTGTTGCTGCCTATTGAATCTATTAGTAATAAATAGAAAATGTTTATATTATTTATTTAAAATAGATTAGAGTAGGTTTTATCCTAATAGATATATTTTTAAAGGAACATAATTGTAGTATTATGTATTGCTAAGAAAAATCTACTAATATCCTAAAAGTATTATTAACAAAGTTTGTGGATTTACTTTTGCGATTATTTGAAGAAAAAAATAATTTTTTAAATTGAATTATTAAAGTTAAAACTTAAAGTGTTATTAATGATTAAAAATATTCATAGTCACTAGAGTAATTAAATTAAATACGTGGAATAATAAAAATAATGTTTTTTATTGTGTTTTTATAACATTTTCTGTTCAAATAAATATTCAGATGATCACATTTAAATTAAACCAAATATAAAAATCTAGCGCACTCTATCCGACCAAAGTTTAACGAAACTAAAGAATTGCTAGACTACTTGGTATGCTCCAAAGTTATTAAAATATAACACATCTTGTAATTCATTTACATTTAAATAATTTTTAAGATAATAATAAAAAGCCAAATTAGATTTAAATATTAGTTTACTAAATGTGAACTTTTATATTGTATTTTAACTTCAATGCGAAGCTGAGAAAGTATTAATTTTACTATAATGTATTTTTTTTTGTTTCTGTTACCACTTTTCTCAGCTCTAACCGAACCAATTTCTTTCAACGATACGTCAAAAGATCACAAATTGTATTCAGTCGAAGTCATTACCTTTAAAAATCGAGAAAATTTCTCTCGTTCCCCGTAAATGGGTGAAATCTCCAAAAAAATTACAAATTTAAAAATCGCTAATTTTCGAAATTTTTTCAATTTTTTTTACTTAAAATTGCTATAACATTTTTAAAAATAACCGAATCAATATAATTTTTTTTATATAGATGCATGATATCATTACCTTTTATTTAGTAAATTTTCTTTATAAATACGACCCTTTACCTGCCCACCCACAGTGGGGGATTCAAAATGACAACTTTATCAAAAAAAATTAACTTTTGAAAGTGTTCCGGAAATATTGACACTTTTATATATACCTTAAATTGAAGCTTATGTATTATACTTTATTATGAAAAAAATAAATTTCGAACTTTATTTTGTCTTCACGATGAAAATGGCTACCGTATTCTATTTTTGTGTGAAAATTCTCGATTTTATATTTTACATTTTTTACTTTAAAATGCTATAACTTATTGAAAAGTGTATGAATTAACACAACTTTTTTATGAAAAATA